GCTGGTACCGATGAACGTTCAGTATATATTTTTATTTTTTTTACATGGTTCATTAAAATAATGTATTTTGGAAATGTTTGATTATTACTGAAACTTATTAATTTTTTTTCCAGATCGATGAGGCGATTGTACTCACAGAGAAGTCTCGTCGACGGAACCATAAATATCAGGCCGAAGAAATTACCTTCCGGGCCAGTATAGATATGGAACGGCTGCCTCAAAACGTGCAAGGTGTGCCTATGGTTCGAATTCCTGACACCGTCCGGGAATTGTTCGAACAGCTCATTCGCCAGACGACAGCCGATTTGGGTCACTCGGACCTCATACGATTTTGTATCCAAGCAGAAGGGCTGGATAAGCCGATAAGTACGTACCTCATGGCAGTTTCGACTTTAATAGTTGAAAAGATTCTGGCTGCCGTGATGAAAGTGTTGCAGTCGAAAGACAAAATTGAACTAGACACAGGATTCTCTGTGGACGTGATTACTATCAGACGACATGCCGGTGCTGGACAAAACAGGAAAGTAGTCAACATCTCTATGGATAGGCTCAATAAAAGATCTATCATCTTTATTCCATACGACGACGAAGGACTCTGTTGCGCTAAGGCAATTGTGTATGCGTTGGCGCATCTGAATAAGGACACAACTGCCATCAATGCCATGCAAAAGCGTTGTCGACCAGCCCTTGTGAAACGTGCCAAGGAACTTCATATGGCTGCGAATATTCCTCTAGGCCCCTGCACATTTACTGAAATTGCCATATTTGAAGACCACTTGGATATGCAAAATGTCATCTTTTCTTCTGAAAACTTGAACCGAGTAAGTCAATATTTTTATCTCAAGATATTTCTGTTTTTATTAGATTAACTTTATGCATATATGCAGTTCGTTTCCACGTTAAAAAAATGTAACTTGAAAATAAATACATGGTGAATTTTCTAGATTGTGTTACATTTTTTAGATTATTTTTATGTATGAAATTTATTTAGATGCTAAAAACATAACTTGAAAAAATTTTAGATTAATTTTACATTTAAGATAAAATTTATATTTTATGCATGCATTTCTTTAGACGCTAAAAATATGTCTTACAAAAATGCATGGGGAATTTTTGAATTATTCTAAATTTTAAGATTATATTTTATGCATAAATGTATGCAGTTCGCTTTGATGTTAAAAATATACCTTATAAAAATTAAATTCATAGTGAGATTTTAGTTTACTTTAAATTGCTAGATTAATTTTATATATGTAATTCGTTAAAACTTTCACTTTAAAAAATTTTTATTTTTAGAATACTTTTAACTTTTTAGATTTTATTTACATGTATGCACGAAGGCAATTTGTTTCTATGTTAAAAATATAATTTGCAAAAAGTTAACATTTAGGCATATATTTCTGATAGTTGTTAAAATTTTAACTTGTAAAACTGAATGAATGGCGAATTTTTTAGATTGCGTTCAATTTTATGTATAAATGCATGCATGTATGCGGTACGCTTCGATGTTAAAAATATGACTTGTAAAAAAAAAAATGCATGATGAATTTTTTATTTTTAGATTCATTTTATGCATGCACACAATTGAATGAATTTTTGAATTCATTCAATTGTGAAAAAATGAATGCACGATTTATGTATGCAATTAAATGTTAAAAACTGATTTTACTTTGATTTTTTGGAATTCAAGAGAAAATTTTTGTCTTTCTGTGTTTTAGGTGGTCTATAAAGGAAAGGAGAGGTCTCAGCGGATCAATTTGTGGCTCCATGATGCGCACTACGATGTGATTAAATCCCTGAAAGGTTTTTTTGCCAGCAAATACTACTGCACAGCATGTGAAAAGCCGTACGATCATCCGGAAAGCCATAGATGTGCCAATGCGTGCCCCATATGTTTGAGGACTGACTGTTTTCCAGGCGTACCCCAACGATGTCAGGATTGCGACCGTCTGTGCCGCTCTAATGCCTGTTATGCAGCACACAAAGCCGTCACTGGAAACCAAGAATTTTCACTTTGCGACAGGGTAAGTGTTTTTTTTAAATTTAACAAAGTTATTTATTATATAATTTTCTCAAAATGGTTGTGTTTAAAAAAAATAATTGTCGTTACAGGTATACCAGTGCAGGGAATGCTGCCAAGTGATCCGGAGGCGGGATTGCCCTAAAGAGCTTCACAGATGTGGAACCACCAAGTGTCCGTCTTGCGGCCAGTTTGTCGTGGCTGCTGAGCACCGTGTTATTTGCGACGTGTTGCTCCGAAGAAGTCCGAGGACAAGTTCATTTTCTTTGACTTTGAAACGGACCAGTCTTCGGGGAACACCTCGTAAATTTCGCGGTGGCTCAGTATGCCGACGGCACAGAAAAAGTGTTTCCGGGCTACACGGCATGCCAAAACTTCTGCGCCTGGCTGTTCTCTACACAGCACAAGGGCTTCACCGCCGTAGCTCATAACATGAAAGGGTAAGTTAAAAATACCATAGTTTGCATGCTTTTTAAGTACGACTATTTTTTCAATATTATTCATATTTTTTTTACTTACAGGTTCGACGGACAGTTCGTGATGGCCTGGCTCCTGGAGCAAGGCACAGCGCCGGAGGTGATCCCTAACGGGTCTATGATCATGAGTGTAAGACACCCTAGTCTGAACATTCGGGTCATAGACTCGTTAAATTTTCTACCGATGGCGTTGGCCAAGCTACCGGGATGCTTCGGTCTCACCGAGTTGAAAAAGGGATACTTTCCCCATCTTTTCAACTCCCGAGAAAACCAGAGTTATGTCGGACCGCTGCCTGAGGCCGGTACTACAGCCCGGACACCATGAGTACTCCAGCCCGAAAGGCATTTCTATCCTGGCACGAAGAACACAAGGGGAACATGTTTCAATTTTCAAGCAGAGATGCTGGCCTATTGCAGGTATATTTTTTCCCTCCTTAATTCTTATTTATTTAAGATTTTGTTTTATTCTTATATTTTATATTTCGTATTTTTAACATTTTTTTTTTAATAGATCGGACGTGGATATTCTTCGTCGCTGTTGCCTGGAGTTTCGAGCCCAGTTTTTGGATGTGGCGGGTGTGGATCCATTCCAGTAAGTTATTTTCTAATTTATTTTATACAATAATGATCATGTTTACAGTTATGTTCTTATAGAATAATCATGCTCATGAAGTTGTTTCTTTTCTTTTCAGATACGTGACCATTGCGTCAGCCTGTATGGCAACGTATCGGAGTGGCCACATTCAGCCCGACACGATTGCCATGGTGCCCACACACGGCTACGTCAACTCCACGAATTACAGCCCTGATTCGATCCGGTGGTTGGACTTTGTTGCTGCTTCGGAATCGCCGGAATCTCGGTACACGGTTTCTGTCAAGCAACGCAAACCGTCTATCAGTTTCAGGTAAGAAAATATAACCATTCTTTTTCTATGTGATTCTTTTGAATGATTTTACACTTTGAATGTTTAATTTACATGTGGAACCCTATTAATATATTTGTATTATGTTAGGGCTGTTTCTTCCATGGGTGTAGTTCATGCTATGACGGGGATACCATCCACCTCTTAAAAGGAGTTTCCATGGCAACTTTAAGAGAAAAGACAGAAGACACCACACGAAAACTTCGAGCCCAGGGTTTCCCCGTGATAGAAATGTGGGAGCATGAGTTTTAACGACAGAAGGAAGAAAATCCAGATCTCCAAGCTTTCCTGGATCAACACCATTTGAGGGACCGGCTCAATCATCGCGAGTCATTTTTCGGAGGACGGACCAATGCCCTCAAATTGTTCCACGAGGGAGACGCAAAATGTATGGATTTTACCTCACTCTATCCATGGGTTCGTACTTTTTTATTATTTTAAAACCTTTTCATGGATGATGTGTTTTTCTGATATTTACGTATGTTTTTATGATGTGTTTTTCTGACTTTTTGCTTTCATTCACAGGTGAACAAGTACTGCGTCTACCCCGTGGGACATCCAGAAATCATCACGGAAATCTTCGGGGATCTAGAACACTACTTTGGCATCATTCAATGTCGTGTGATTCCTCCCCGGAACCTATATCTTCCGGTATTTCCATACCGATGCCGGAAGAAACTCATGTTCCCCCTGTGTCGAACCTGCGCCCTTCATCAAATGCAAGCTCCGTGTACCCACACAGACGACGAAAGAGCTCTTGTCGGAACGTGGGTATCGGAAGAAGTCAAGCTGGCGATAAAGAAAGGTTACCGCGTCACACATGTAAGTATTTAAAGATTATTTAAATTGTTTGTCATAACCCAAATTTATTTCAAATCTTTTGTCATAACTGAAATTTATTCTTTATTTTCTAGATTTACGAAGTGTATCATTTCAAAGAATCATCTACTTCCCTGTTTCGTTCCTACATTGATCTCTTTCTGAAGATCAAACAGGAAAGTAGCGGATGGCCTTCGGAGTGTGTGACGTCTGAAGACAAATTAAAGTATATTCGCCAGTATGAAGAAAGAGAGGGCGTCAAGTTGGACGCAGGAAAGATTTCCAAGAACCCTGGGCGTCGCCAAGTTGCCAAGTTGGCCCTAAACAGTTTCTGGGGCAGGTAAGATGATTTCTTTTGTACTTAAATTTTTTGTAAACATTTTTATTTTTAATTCGTTATGATTTATGTTGGATTTTTTTTTTCAGATGGGGTATGAACGTCAACAAAGGACAGCTTACCTATGTGCATACGGTGCCAGACTTTAATAAGATGATTGGCTGATCCTACCAAAAAAGTAAGTTTTCTTATCAATTTTATTCATCTATCATGTATTTTGAGCTGTGAACTCATGACTCTTCTATTCTTTTCAGATCAAAGATGTCTTTCTTCCCACGCCTGAGGTGGCTGCAATTTGCAATGGGAGTCTGCCAAAGGAGTTTGTGCCGCAGGATGCCTCGACCAACATTTTTCTAGCGACGTTTTACGACAGCTTGGGCTCGTCCTCAAGCTGTACAGTGAAATGGAGAAGCTGGGTCGAGACGTCCTGTATCACGACACAGACTCCATCATCTACGCTACCAATGGTGGCAATGATCCTCCCTTGGGTAACTTCTTAGGGGAATTTACCGACGAACTGGATGGAGATATTATCAAAACCTTCGTGTCACGTAAGGACCTTTAAAAAGTTCCTTATTTAATATGTACCAAAAAAATGTTTAATGCATATTTTTTCTGTTATGTCTTTTTCTCATGATTTTTTTTCAGGAGGTCCCAAAAACTATGCGTACCAGACGGCCACTGGGAAAACCTCCTGCAAAGTGAGAGAATTTTGTTGAACTTGCGCAATTCCCACTTGCTGAATTTTGAAGCCATCAAAAGTCTGGTATGTAGTCTAAACCAAAAGGATGTCATAACCCCTCCAAAAGGCACAACCCCTTCAAAATTACCCGAGAACCAAAAAGAAGAAAAGTTGTGAATAAACCCGAAACAAAAAAAATACAAAGTTGTGTTGGACAAAAGAAGTAATTCAATCAGACTTAAGCACCTTACCACTTGGCTTTTAAAAATAACTTTTGTAAAATGTATGGTATGTACAAAAAAATGTTTGTATGTAAAAAGATGATATGCACAATATCATGCATTTGTGTGTGTATAAAAACTTATTTAGAAAAAAAAAAAAGTAAACAGAAGTTTGAAAATTATGGTGTTCTTTTTTTTTGAAGGATTTCATAAAAGGTAAGTTTTTTTAAATATTTTGTAGAAAATAATGGTTATGATTATGTATATTTAGTTTAATCAAAAATGATTTTATATATTAACTTTATCAAAGAAAAACATAACACAAATAATCAGAAATTAACTTTTATTATGAACATTTCATTACAATTTCAGCCATAGTTTCGAAGAGGATTTTCTTTTAGGTCTAGCATACATAGTTTTTACATTCATTAAATGTTTGTTTTTCACAAAGTCTTGAGGAAAATTATTCACATTGAGTACATTTTTAAACTGTTCAAAGGCAGTAGGTCTTTCAGTTCTATTTCTCAACAGAAAGTTTATCAGTTGAACAATGTTGGACCCAGAAAACACATGACCGTCCAGAATCAGTTCTTTATTGTGTGTCCAGGAAATCTGATGTTCTTTTAGAAAGTCTATTATTTTCAGTGCCGTTCTTTTCTGTTTCACAGGAACAGTCTGCATAATTTCCTTTTCTACATCTGTCTCAGAAAATTGTTCAGGCGGTTGTTTTTCAGACGCATTCACATGAGGAAACGTAACATACTTTTGCAGAACTCGTATGTACAATTTGGATTTTTCTTCATCGTCCATTTTCTTTTTTAAAATGTTTTGAATTTGGGTATCTAAATCACTCAAATGTTCATCTTCAAACTGGTGCATACGATCCAGGGGCAGCAGGACAAATTTCTTACTGTGTTCCATGGAGAAGAGAGGATAAGACACTGACTGCTGCAGGAATCAGGAAAGATAGAAAACCGTCACCTTTTGAACCAAAAGACGTCTTTTCTTAAAAAGAGGTACTTTTTTGTCCGCTAATTTCCTCAAAGTTCTTTTAAAAGGGACGAGTCGATTTTTGATGCGTTTGGTGATGGGTACGTTTCCTTTTAGAAGATTTAAAACACATTCACAAACAGATTTAATGAGATGATTCGGACACTTTTTCAGTACAGCTGCTTTTATTCGACTTTTTCCTAACAGTTTTAGATAATCCACATCCTTCAGATGAGACATGCTGATGACAAATGAGCTCTTTTTCTTGCACACTTTCTTTTATATAGGTAGCAAATGCAGCCGCTTTGGTTAAAGCACAGCAATTAAATCCTTTTGCATGAATCGAACATGTTAAAGAACGTTTCTTTTTTAAATTCTCTATCTTAGGACAGTCTAGATTTATGATGTCTCTACATAATAAATTTTCTAAAAATAATTTCTTTTCTAATCCTTTCACGTATATGACAGAGTGAATAGATGACAAATATTGCAAAATAATACGAAGATGAGTATAAGGTAAAACACCCTCATTCCAATTCATGTGATGACGATTTCTTGTGACCCAAGCAAAACACTTTTGCTGAGATCGTGATAATGTTTTCCAAGGCTGAGGAGGTAAAAATGACCAGCAACTGTGATATCCTTCATGCACGGAGTAAAAAGCTAATTCTTTAACAATGTAACAATGAGGCATCCACTGAAAACCTTCGAAATCGATCACGATGGGAGAAGACATGTTAGCCATTCGACGTCTCAAACTGAAATGAACTATCGGGGCTGGTAGACATAGTATTTATCCCCAGGAAAGATGCCTGTACGAAGGCGAAGCGTTTCACTTGTTTCAGGTCGTAAATCAATCAGCAAGTAGCTAAATGGAGTTGAAGTAGCATCCTGAAAAATTTCTTGAAAGGCCTTTACTTTTCCGGGGAACATTTGTCTAGCTAAATGCATAACTTGACTTTTATCTCTAGGATTTTTGTATAAGACAAGGTAATGGGAATTTAAATGAATATTTCTCATCTCCTTGCCTTGGTGAAAAAGATTTTGCGTTATAAAAACGACTGAAAGGTTTCGGTGATGACTTCCTTTTGTAAAAAGTTTGCTTAAGCGAGTATCACTTGCTAATTCAGACATTAAATCGTCTATGATAATTAAAGCATTTTGGAGAGTCTGCAGGTTAGATGGTAATCCTTCTTCAAAATTTACGTTTTTCATGGAATTAAAAAGAGGTTGATAACTTCCGTAGCAATAAATAATATTGGTCGGCATGGGATGGAACATTTTATGATCTATCAATTTCTTCACAAAAACCGTTTTACCCGAACCGGTAGGTCCGCTCAGAAGACAAGTAGAAGGATGTACGAACTTGGGTAGTTCCATTTTTGGAAATGAGAGGAACTTTAAAAACATTGACTTTTATACTTTACAGAAAATCTCTAAGCAGCCTTTTAGGATATTGGCAACCAGAAGACATTCGCTCCTTGAATCCACAATATTTTTTGTAAATTCAAAACAGTGATTTTTGAAAACATGTAAAGAGTTTTGAACGCACTCACAAATCGTTTCTCCGCAATGTGTGTGATTTAAATAAAAATTCGAAAATTCGTGGCATTTGATAAATCCTATTGAATCAATCTTTTGATATATTTTATAGATTTCAAGTGTAGTTTTATTTTGAAGACAGTTGAAATCTTGTTTAGATGTCCATTGCAGATGAGTCCAAAGTAGGATACCCATACTTGAAAATATCCACACGACTGAAAATACAGCAACAATCGTTTGTCGTTCCATGTTCGTGTTCGTGATTTTTTTTACAAACTGTGCTCTCACTATGTATGGAGAGACCTTTTATACCCCCAAAAAATGCCCTTATTTCTCCAACTCTTATCTAAAAAATACAACTATATGAATAAAGTAATATTTTATTTAAATAGGTGTAGAAACAAGAAATACAAGACACATGTTTACAAATTAAACAACTTTATTTTTTAAAAATCATGCACACACCATATCGTTTTTTGACAAATTGAAATATTTGGAAATCATGATTCTTTCCAACTAAGGGTGATACAACGAGTTCCATACAGAGTCCTTGACATCGTTTAATAATAAAATAAATACAATAATGTCCACATACATTAGAAGTTAAACTCTGAAGCGATATCTTGTTCTAGCAAACATGACGATATTTCTTGACAAAGGATGTGATATGTATATGTATGGCTATAACTGGATATCAATTTATCAATCACATCAATGTACTTTCGTGTATTCATTTCGGTAAAGTATTTCCACATTTTTGTTTTTAGAGTCCGATTAAATCGTTCTACGACAGAAGCTTTGGTTGTATTATGTGTCGTGAAAAAGCGAACGTTTCTCTTTTTCAAAAAATTTTGAACTTGTTTATTGGTAAACTCTTTCCCTGCATCTGTTTGTAATGATTCGGGTGTACGTTCCGAAAATATCTTTTCGAAAGCGGATTGAATGGACACAGATGTTTTATCTTTGAGAGGGATAGCCCAAGCGTATTTCGAAAGGATGTCTATACAGGTCAGCAAATATTTATATCCATCATTAAAAGACGCCAGGGATTGCATATCCACTAAATCAGATTGAAATTGCTCGTTTAAGCCTCCTACGATGACTCTGTTCCTGGGAAACTTGTGCCTCAAAGGCTTGGCAAAGTATAAGAATCTTGGTTTGCAACTATTTCTGGATGTTCTTTTGTTTTTACGTGACCTTTTTAAAGCACGATGCAAAGCAGCAACACCCCCGAAACTTGCGGGGACCTGTGGATCTCGATAGGTCTGAGACAGAGCTGCGTTCATTGCAACAGTTCTTATGATCTAAGCGTACGCTGATATTCATTTATATATGTTTAACTAAAACAGGGAAATAATGCCAGAGTTTCTAATAACTTGCCGGTATAAAGATTTTAGAAAATAGGTCTAACACATGTACAAGACAGAAAATGAATGTTACTTAACATCTCAAAGGTTGAACAAGTAATGATATATATGTTTAAGAACAACCATATTTATACTCTATAAAAATCAATAGGTTTGTATTCAATAGGTATATTTAAAATTTATGTAAGTGTTCATTACAGATTAATTCTTTTAAATAAGGTCTGAACCTGGAGACAGTCATGAGATCATTGTAAAATAAAGTAACATTTTATTGAATATCCTAATTAATTTACAAATATTCATAGTATTCAATACCTAAGACACCATTCGTAGTACAAAATGTGTTTTCTTACTTCATCGAGTACATGGTTTAAACAAACAGATTTTAAAAATTCCTTGGTAATGTAGTGAGCAGGTTTCAGTAACATTAAATAGGATTCTTCACCCCAAATATTTCCGTAAAATTGTTTGACGATGTCAACAGCATTGAATCTCAGAGCAATGGAATTCACAGTTTTTGTTTTATGAATGAGTTCTTCACAGTCTATGCGCTTGGGATATTTTAGTTCTTCTTGTTGGTTAAGAAGCTCTTCAAGCGACGTCTATAGAATAATTTGGAGACGTGCTATTCCCATAGAAATGTCAAAAGATTGGGGCAGATTTTCCTCCTTAACAGGTTCGTCGGATATGCTTTCGCAGGCTTCACAAAAGTTCATGTTTTGATAAACGAGACTAGGTGACAATGTCGCTGATACGGCTAAATTTGGTCATCAGTTCTTCCCACTGCGTAGTTGTAATGCTGAGGCTACTTTTTTCATTTCCTTGAGCAGAAAGTTGTTTCAGAGTGAAGTGAGAGGGAATCCTTATACGTGACTACAAAGTTCTTGGGCAACTCCAGATTCAGTGTCAGCAGGTCTGGTTCCTCCACTATCATGTTGGTTGCGAGAACATTCAAACACCATGGCTCAAAGTTCACTCCACGTCTTGTCGGATAGTAAGCTTTACCATATTTGGCATACTCTCGGATGTGAACAGTCACTTTTCCCTTGTAAATGCTGGGTTCCACAAAGACATTGTTTCCCATGTGAGTGAGCTCCTCTGGAATAGCCTCTTCGGTAAAGAGTCCTTTGCGCTGAAAGAAAAAAATCAGTTAGTATATAATACATAAAAAATATGGTCACATACAATATCAACTTTAATATTATACATATAAAAGTACGTATAATAATCATATAAAAGTACGTATTAACTTACGTAAATACGTACTTTTTTCTCGAAATGGGATGTTTCTTCTGCTTTTCTTTTGGTACAAGAGCTAGCTGATTCTCTTGGAACATCATGGCTCAACACTTTATCGTTCAAAGGCATAGGTTCATTCTCAAATAGGTTTTCCATCTGAAAAAAAAGTAAAGACAAATTAAGCACATATTGCAAATTCAACTATTTTTTAAAGATTAAAAATCTAAAAACAGTAACTTTTCAAAACGTTACTTACTTCTTTGTTGTTTCGTGCCTGATCCATTCGAAGTCGTGAAGAATGGTTGTCTAAGCAAAAGCAGGTACGTACACTCAGGGCGACAGGCAGGAAAGAAATGCGGAACGTTGCTCGGGATAACCTTATATCGGGTAGGAACTCTTTATTTCATCTGAGCGGTGATTGGTTGAAAGACGGTGAGGTCATATTTCAAAGAATCTGATTGGTTCACAGAAAAGTATCCATACCTCTTAGCGGAGGCATACAAAGGTGTGATACAGCAGACGCCATTTTGTAAAACAACATGCCCCAACAAGAAATGGATGATGTCATTCCAAACACGTTGTTCAAGATACCGTTGCCACAAAACCTAAAAATATATATTCGATGCCGCAAAAAATAAAAACTTTGAAACATAAAATCGTTGCCACAGAATCAAAACGAAACTTTGATGATGTCATTCCGTCTACGTCATTCCTTCCATCTACGTCACTTCCGGTTGTCACGTGATCCAAGATGGCGGAGACCACGCCCCTTTTCTGTGACGTCACTTCCGTCCGCCGAGTACGGGCGCTTACTACTAACAGCATATATTTAGAATTTCCGCACTGGAGATAAAATTGTTATTTTCCGTACAGTGCTCGCTCTGAACTCGTTGAGTTTGTTAATCAGAAATTCATTAAAGTTTTACAAAATATGAAATAGATCAAAACAAATTCGAAATTCGGCCGTCCAGATGCCTATGTTCGGGTGGAGGATTACATTATTTAAAATTGATGGCTCTAGATATTGTCGTTTTTGTTACAGTGCGAGAGACATACATGTATTCATGCAGATTCTTCATTATTTAATTTTTTTACATATAATACAGGGCGATAATATTTGGTAACAACAATTAAAGAGACACGGACATTTGTAGTAAAACAGCGCAAAATGCTGCTTCGAAACTAACAGCCTTTCTAGGCTACCGCCCCTTTGGGGTAATAAATTAAAATAACAGTAAAAAAAAAAAATTATATGCATAACTAAAATAATTAAAAAATAATCACTATAAATACAAGCAAAATTAATTATTACGGTTAAATACAATTTAATATTAGAATTAAATTTATAAAAATTTGTAAGGATTCAAAAGTGTTTATCACTATGATGTATTAGGAAATATAATTGAAAAAATAAATCCCTTTATAGAAATTGTGCTATAATACTCATCTATAATTTAAAAAAAGCAGCACAATTTAGAATTTTGAACAAAACTTTCAAAAATTCGTTTTTAAATATTTTAGTATTTTTTTACTTATTTACACCAATGAAAAGCATAAAAATTGCAAGAGAAAATAGTTTGTTTGAAATTTTCTATTAGTTCAGATTTGAAATATTATTTTCTAAAAGAAGTAGTTACAAATTTCCTTACAGCATAAGAAAAGCTAAAAAAAATATCCAGTCCTGAAAGCATGCAATAGCTTTATAATTATTTGGAACGTTAATTATTGCTTGATAAATATGCTAAATTTTAAAAAATCAATCTCAATTTCAAAAATAAAAATATGTAGAAATTCTAATTTGGGAAATGAGGCGCTACAACCAGCTTTTTCTTGACAATTAATTATACACGCTGCAATAGGCAACCAATGTCAAATTTCTGCAAGTCGTCCCTACTCCTCCGGATGTGATCAAGGTGACAGCCGCCAACGCCTCAGACGAAGGAGAAAACCCGTTTGGGTTAGTCTATTTCTTATAAAGTCCATGTAGTTAAATTGCAAGTATTGGTATTCTCATCAAAGCTAGCGTTAAATTCGACCGTTAAATTGACGAGACGGCTGTTAAAGTAAGGACAGGTCTAACACTTCGCGTTAAATAAACAGATAGTTATATTTCCGGCAATAAACATGGCGGAAGGTTTTGCGTCAGTTTTAGCTGAAGCGTATTTGGATGAAACTAGTGGAATTTCTCTGCGTCGGCAGCGAATTTTCCGTGATTGAAGCAATGTATTCGCTTTGCATACAATGAAGATAATGGATAATGAATTATCGTCAGGATTAATGAATTCCGGTCCCAGTAGCATGTCGTTGGTGAGGTGAGTTCAGCTTCGTATTTTTCCATAGAATGTTAGAAAACTTACTCTTCGCATTTCTTCAAAATGTGTATTTTTATTTCACTGTCACTTATTGACTATCAACTGATTTTATAAATACAAAATCAATTGCGGAATGTGCATGTGTTTGTGCAGCTAAGTGTTCTAATACTGTTTGTGATGTTTCTTTTATTATCGCAAATAGTTTATACTGTTTGTAAAATTTTATCCTACATTTCATGTAAACTTTGTGCTGGTTTATCACAAGGTTAAAAAATGCAGTGCCTTATTTTATTTAATTTTACTGTACGACTGTAATTTAAAGTGATTCCATTTTGATTCTGATATAATGTCGTCAAATCTGTTAGACGGCGCCAGTGTTAAAAACTTGATAGTGTGATCTAAATTATAAATAATTTTGGTTTTTCCTTATAGTAAGATAAATATATTCTGTATTTTTAAGGAATTTTGAAGATGTTAAGTATTGATTTAAATATTCGACAAATTGTTTTGATCCCGTTATCATGCTTTATCTAGTAGTAAATCTTAATGTTGTATTTTTAAGTATACTTACTTTAAATTTATTTAAATGTGTGAACAGGAAATATGTTTTAAGTAGCTTTACAAAATTAATTACTTTTCCTTAATTTTGTTCTATTTTCGTATAAAACTTAAAATTTATCAGAAAATTGCATTCTTAAAAGTGTGATTAAATTCATTTCATTAAATACTGGTGCTTTAGATTTTAATGTTAAATTTCATGCATGATTTTGTTAAATTTGCAAGTACATTTTAAAATCAATTGTTCATAATTTGTTCACTGTCATAAAATTTGTCATGGGAGATCTCATGTTCAGCTAAATCAAATTTACTTTTGTGTGACCTTAAATCTGAGCCACCAATCGTAAATCTGTTTTGGCCTATTAATAATTTTGAATGAAAAAACCTAATGCTACTGTGAAAGGAATGGTCAACTGATCTTATTAATCAATGTCTTATAGTTATTGTAATGATTTGCAGGATATTTCATAATGTTGATGTTGCATATGTTTTCTCTTGTTATCAAATGCATAAAAAGAGTATATTCCTAATCTGATATTTCTTCTTTTGTAAGAGTGTTATATATCATGATGTGATACTTGGGATTTGTTTTTAGAGTACATAACAGTAATATTTTTTTGACATGCTAATAGAACCAGTGTATTTTATTTACTTATTGCTTTAAAACACGTTTTAAGTCAAGGCTATTTTTTTCTGCCCAGTATGCACATAAAACTTACTTAAGTACAAACAAATTTTAACAAATTAATGAGATATATGTTTTAAATTAGCTGCTTTAATAGGAAAAGAACTAAACTAAAATGATATACCTTGAAAAATTTTATTGAAAATAAGAATATTATCTTAGCAGTGTTGGAAGATTTATTAAAATGAATTTTTTGCATTATTTTGACATTTCCAGATGTATTCATTTAAATAAAAATCCAGTAAAGTAAGATCATTCTATATAAAGCTGTTGATTTATAATAGAAAAAAATCAAATTACTGCTGCATTTTAATAAAATTTTAATATAATGGAATGAATTGCACTACGTTAGAAAAAAAAAAAAAGAGTTAAAAAAAATTCTATTTTTGCATTATTTTCACTATATGTGTTTTGCATATGCTTGTTACAACAGGACTTAATCTATAGATATGTAACTAAATGATATTTTTTTGTTTTTACATATGGAAATTAATTAATAAGAAAAACTGTGATTTAAGCAGTGGTATAGATTGAATCTTATAGTTTATGGAATTATCATTAAATATTCAGATAAGTGTAATATTAACAGCATATGTATATGTTTTTTTCATCATTTAATGCCTGTAAATTCTTATAAATTTATCAGTATTTTTTCTATGTGTTATAAAATGTAGCTATCAGTAACAAATAATTGATTAGCGATCGTCCGTTAAGAGAAGATCGTTATTTACCCTCCTTGTCGTGAATAGGGCCCATAGATCTCTAAGCCTTTACCTTACTTTCTTGAACGTTCTCGAAGTTCATCTACCAGTTCGTCAAATCATGGGCCTTCAGAATCTTAATTTTCTTATTTATCTTATTAAGTGTCAAGTAAGCAACTTCAGAATCTATTTCCACATACGGATATGGGGCTAAATAAGCAACTTCCTCCATTCCTCTAGGGTAATAAATAAAAGAAACATCATTATCCGGATCCGTGTCCTGTATGGCTATTGTTTCAGAAAAGCCCAGTACTGGCTTGCTATGGGTCGCACATCAATTGCTCACAACCTCTTTTCGTTCCTTTTTTTTTTTTTTTTTTTTTTTTTTTACGTTAACTTATGTTGTGGTAACTTCAATAAATATTTTGTTTGTTTTATAGATTCGTTTCCTGGAATATTACTTTTAGGTTTACAACAGAACAGAAGGCGCCCGAAAAGGGACGTATTCTCGTCAAATGAGACTATAGGATAAGTTTGAACATTTTTCATAATTTGATTTATTCTTTGATATCAGTAGAAAAGTAAATAGATATATAATATATAAATATGTATTTCTTTTAATTTGCCTCGGACCTCCAAATAAAAATCCTATCCGTGGGCCGGGTAGAAACTTCCGGCGGGCCGTAGTTTGCCCTAGAATGTTAAATAATAAAGTTTTAGCGAACACCGCTAAAGAGCCAAAGATGGCCCCCCAAACCTGAATTACAACCCTATAGCGTGGCTACAATACGAGGTCTACGCTAGAACATGGATGACGAGCAGCCTGTATCTCTAGTAGCTGTAATATGATTGGCTTATTTAGACGAACTTCCCCAACTCTCGAAGGTTACTTACCTACCGTAAGGATCCCGCCGATGGTCGCTGTGATGAATGTCAATTTAACCAACAGTCCTTATGGTTACTGGAGTCGTGAAATTTAGCGATCGTCCGTTA